TATTGAAATGTCTGAGCATCATCATGATCAATAGACAGCACAATCACATCAGGTTTATTATTATTTAAAAAATCTGTGATCAGGCATAAAAAGAATGAAGACATACTTCTACTAGTTTATAATGTTACAATAGAATGTGAGCGGAGCAACACTGAAAATTGATAATCCTTTGATAGCGGCGAACCTTGAAAAAGCGAAACAACTTCGAAAGTTAGCATCGTGGAACAAAACCGAAGTGCATAAAGTTTCGGCTCACCGAATTTCGTCCCCCATTTTGGAACTTAGAAATTTTCGTCGTGTACTTAACCCGTTGGCCGAAAGAACAATCCGTCTGGTTTCTATCTTTAAACTCTACGTACACGATTCAACTTTTGCCGACGAATCGAATTTAACTTTCTGCACCGGTGCAGGTAACTACTTTTGTTACTCCGTTCGCTAACAACTTCGTTACACGTTTCAACGGCGAAGTGCACCGGAATAGACTGCTGAAAGTTCGACTCAATGAAAAGACGAATTAACTATCGATTCTGTATGTGCAATGGAATCCCTTCTCCCCACCCTCGCACTATAATTATCGCCAACTTATTTGATAGCCAGCATTCACCACAGTTGAACAACGCAAAACGTAATTATCGGAGAGATCACTCCTCTCTCTCTCTTTCAGTGTCTCTCTATTATGTACGTACGTGCATACAGAATTTCCCAATATTACAATGAAACGTTACATTCGTTTTTCCATTCCGCTTATCGGGCAAAGTGCTTCGCACTTCGATTCACTTCCAGTTTTTCGATTTTCAATTACATCCTTTGACGTTATGCAATTCGTGCGAGCGCAGCATAGAAAGCGAATACAAAAAGTATTGGCACACGCCCATATCTCTTAACAAGGTACCTACTACCTACTTTTACGTTTTACTTTCACAGTGTTGAATTTTAATGGTACCACTTTTAATGAAATTTATTTGTACAAAAAAATCGTTCATACACCAAACGAGTTCTGTAACTTAAATCAGATTTTTCAAGATCTTGAATTTAAACAATTATCAAGAAATTGTAATTCAGTCAAACGATACGAAAAATGCGGTGCTGTTTCCACATGTATACATAAATTCCCTTTAAACTTCCCACGATTCTATCATAAAAAACCAAGCAACATCGTAATTTCATGTATCACATTAATTCTTTCAATACTTATTTATTTTTTAGCCATCGTGATTGTATGTTACGTAACCGATGTTATAACCACACCCGCGACGTTGTTGAACTTTAATCAGGAACGTGGAGAAAGACTCGAGAAATGTGAATTACGTCGCGAAACCTACGCTCTTGATGTGTCTTTTTCTCATTAACGTCGCGCAGGGTGCATCTCTGGCTTCGTGACCTTCCTCCTCTTAGCCGTCATTGTTCTTTCTTTCGCTACTATATTTATGTTTTCTTTTCATTAACGAGGCAACTGCGGCAGTTTCGTTATTTCTACTCCTCGCACTCTTTTCACGTACTTCATTCACTTTAACGATTCGTCCGTTCCTTTAGCTCCAGTGAAACGCTTTATCGTCGAAACGATACAGTAAAAAAAACGTAACGATTCTGTTTCGCGTGCGTTACGTATACGGGCACGTGTACATGTATATATGTACATATACAACCAATTAAATAATGTTGACGGATATTCATGGATGATATAAAGCTACACGTTTATTTTGTGAAATCACAATAGCAGACGATGAAGAATAACATCGAACAATTGATTTATCAAGAATGGAAATCGTATCATTAATTTTTCGTACTAATTTGAAAATGCATATCCACTTGTGACACATCTTGTACATTCGTGTGCATAAGTTTTATCATGTAACAAAACACATAATGAATTATATATATAATCATATAATTAATTGTGTTTAAGGATGTATTGGCTATACAGTCAATCCCCAAAGTTTATGCACTTTAGAAACGCATTTTTTAAAAAGAAATCAGACGTCGGAAGAACATTGCTAATAATAAACAACAAAAAAAAATTTTCGATTTTTCCGAGATTTTTCCAAGGGGTACCCCTTCAATTTCTTCCAAATTTTCGTTTTTGGCCAATAACTCCCAAACCGTTAGACATACGAAAAAATTGCATATGACCTTTCTTATAGAGGACGACGAGATCTACAATTTCCATGTAAAAGTTTTTTTAGTGAATCAATAAATTTGGTTATTTGAACTGAAAATTCTTATTGATTTAACCCGGTTGCAATATATCCTAATTGTAAGTATAAGACACACGTGCTACGCAGAGAGGATACAAGTTAAAACGCTTCTTAAAACGTTTACAACAGGAACAGTAGTTTGTGTAACAAAAACCATAACAAGTCTTACCCTAAGAACTATATTTTTTATGGACCTCTCAAGTGTTTAATAGCAAACGACGTGCTGAGAACAATATTTCGATGCTTCGGCAGCGAACGAGCTATAACTTTTCTCAACTTGGTCAAACTTGTGAAACGGCATTATATAAGTTAACTCGCGGCGGAAAACGTGTGATAAGCTTACCGTATCCCATCTTCGCGGCCAAATTGAGCTTGCATTCGTGGAGGGTAGAGTAATCGTATGGCTGCGGCTCTTTCGGGCACCACAGCACCGACGGCCCGCAAACGCATTTTCCGGTCGACACTGTGTTTCCTTTCTCACCGGCAACGCCTTCGGACACCAAGTTGCAACCGGGTTCAGACATTACAGGTCGTTGCGGGCAATGTCTCCTCCACCTGCCCGGGATCTCTGAAAGAAACGCAAGAAACCGAGTTAATACGGCTTGCAATATTTCTCTTCCGATCGAATGGACTTCGCACAGAAACTGAAAATCGAGGACGGACATTGATAGATACATAATAAAAACCTATAGAAAATTTTGATGCGCAATAAATATGAAGAATGTAATGTGCAAAAATGTGCAGAATATAAAAATTGCAATATACTGAATTGTCAATCTAGAACTGATGTTTTTCAATTAACATAAGATTTGCTGTCTAATGGTCACTAATCACAGTTGCAGACGTGCAATGGAGGTAGACGTAGAGTGGTGCGAAAAAGTCCATCCAGTTATACGGTTGCTAACATCAGTAAACAGGACAGAAACAATGTATGTCAGATTGGACTAACGATAGGGCTGCCATCGCACCCAAGAGAATATAATGCGGTTTCCTAACGATACTCTCGGTAGGTACTCGTAACGACAAATTCAGATTCAATTACGACTATCGTGCAAAACTCGATCGCAATTCCATCGCAGAGTACGTATTAGACGGTTAGCAATTTCGGGAAAGGCAGACTCGATTAAGCCGCGCATCCACTTGTATCACCGTTTCGTATCAACATTGCGTATCACTGTTGCATGCAAATATATACAAGGTGAATCAATATGAAGTATCATTTAAAACTCCTCACTACTGGTACATGTTACTAGGAAGTCTGTCTAGACTCTAGAGTACTTTATTAAAGCAATTCACAATTTATTGCATACATTGGGCGATTACGGCTAGTTAATTATTTAATGATATAGTATAATCTTCGAATTGAAATAGTCTTTTTTTTTTTTTTACTAATTCGGAATATTTGCCAAACGTTGTATTAACAGTAAGTACAACAGTAACACGATACAATTAGATACGTATTTTTAAACATAGAAATTACGAAACAGCGTACACGAGTATGAACACGGAACAGTCTGGAAAGGTGGAGTCGTGTTCGGTTTTATAAGGTGGAACAGAGAGAAATAAGAAGGCGGGAGTTATTTGTTAGAAAGGCGGATGTAACTTTGCTATAAGCATCTTTCGTAGCAGGGAAGATAGCCCGACCCGGCTCGGAACAGGCCGATCGATAAGTTTAATAATCCACAGTTGAGCGCCCCAGAAATCGAATTTGCCGATCGGTTTACCAATCGACCTTCCACGCTGAAGCAAACCCTAAACGCGAATTCATTTCGAGTTAATGGTCTGAATGCGCTTCCGGCTAATTGGCTATGGTTCGCCGAGTACACACCAAGGGAACGAATGTTCTCCAGTCGAACCAACGCTACGCGACGTCGTCATCGTGCCGACATCAACCCGTCTAGGTGATCACGAATTGTCTGTCGATACGATGGAATGCGAGATTTCAACAAAATTGGCTTTTCGATCCTATTACAATGCCTTTTATGAGCTAATAATATTTGATCCATTATAGAAGAATATTTTAAACCGAGATAACGACATTAACTAAAGAGTAGCACTGTGATTCCTAAAATTTTAAAGCATTTTTGGAAATTCTTCAGGGAGCTTAAAGCAAAAAGGCAAGAACTTTTATTTTATGAATCAATTCAACCATTACAGCGCGTAGCCGCTTTCAAAAATTCCGTTTTTGTATAAATAATGAACATTTGAAAAAGAAGGTCATTATTCGATTACATATTCTCTATGAAAAACAGTAATAGCAAAGCCAGATTTTAAAATCTCGTGAAAGTCCTATGTCCTATGATAGACTATATCATAATAAAAATCCCCCTAAAATTTCAAGTCAATCTGATTAAAAGTGACGGAGTTAGAGTGCATATCGTTTCGAAAAATTCTCTCCCGAAAAAAACGCGTTTACAACATAAAAATGGCAAGACTAAAAATGTTTCATGTGCTATATTGAACTCTATTTGCATTTTATTTTTAAACGCATAAAAAACATTTTAAACTAAAAAGGAGAAATCGATTTTTTCCCGGCCACAGTGGTATTACACTTTGAGTAAGTGCTCTCGTTCAGGAAACACAATGTCTATTAGTAATGAATTTTATCAGAAATCATATTTTGTGGCTCGAAAAATGTTCGCGTGAGTCATCCGAAAAGCCCGGAGAAATATTGTAAAAACTTATCGGCTCGATGGAAACAGAGTACAAGCGATTATCTTTGATCCTCCCTTTGTATCGCTATTCAGTATCGTCCATACAGCGAGAAATCAATAGTTCATCGAAAATGATTTGCTTGATACCGAGGGGAAAAAATTATTCGCTGCCAGACAACGATGTCACGAAATACTGCTATGAAAAATAACGGCTTCACCCGGCGGACGAAATGAATTACATACGTGCCAGGGGCTTTAATCAGACTCATGCATGTTTAGGATCATCTGCTGAACCACCTGCAGATTTTTTCACAAGTCCATCTGTTACGAAAAAACAAGAGTTGCCGGTATACATGTATGCACGGTCTCTTGCTCTGACGGCTGCTCGTTTCCCGAGAAACATGTTCGTAACAATTAAATGGTGGCCGGGGAAACTAAAACTATGCTTTCTCATTACCCGTTGCGCGAACGATGATCGATGATCCAGGACAATTACCAGTGAGACGAAGGTACCGTTCATTATCGGTCTCCCCTACCGAAAGTCGTTCCCGGACAGATTTACCGTCTCAACTTTCCCACTTCACGAAACATAAATTATTCATACGAAAAATTACAAAGTTCAACCCCGTCTTTAATTCCCGTAATCCACTGTCTCTCGATCTCCCTTCGAGTTGCGACCTCGTTTTCCCGTAGTCAAGCTGCTCGCGATCAGATTTAGAAAAAAATATTTTTAATAAGATTCGAAAACTCCAACTTCTTACTTAAAGCTGCGTCAAAGTAATTGCGATGAAATTTTCCGCGAAGATAATTATCGCAATCCGGTTAAAACGAATTTTGATGTTTCTTCACCAGTTTCGAGATCGCATCCTATTTCCCGTTCTCGCGTTGCACCAATTATCCAGTTTCTAGTAACTACAAGTTAGAATCTCGGGGATATTGAGAAACCGAAGAAGCTACGCGTTAATTCGCTGGAAACAGTCGCATCTGCAAATTAAATTCTAGAACCTACTTTTCTACCGTTTTCACGGAAAACCGTTCGCAAATAAGCAAGACATTTCATTACTTCGAAATACATTTACCTACGAGTGTTAGGATACGTATCCATTCGTAGCATACTCTCATATCATATCACTATTGCATCCGTTCCGGATATACAGAAGTATCATTTAAAATTATCCACCAATCATTAATTTTGCTACAGACCCAGGCAAAAATATATTTTAAATCGTTAAAGTTCAAAAATAAATTCGTGTAATGCTCTTTATAATATGTATAATGAAGTAATACACAATAAGTTTTGAGAAAAAATATTAAACAACTTGTTATACGTGGCACTTCTTATAGACTCAGTTTTTATATATAATAAGCCCCGTTAATAAATTCTAATACATAAACTAGTGTACTCTTGTACTACGTATACTACGTAACTTATTACATATTGTAAAATGAATCTATGTTATACTTTAATGAAATCAAACGAGTTGACTATTTGATGGATCTAATCGAAACGAGACAATATCAGTGGTCGTGTACATACACGCTTAGTTGGTTTGAAGCAAAAGCACAGCGTTTATTCCGAGAAAATACAATTTATATTTATAGCGTGATATATCACGACATAATGCCTCGTTATTTATTTCATTTACGCGGAGGTATTATCAAAATGGAGCAAACAGTGGAACGGGCTTACACGGTTGGGGTCTGTGTTCATAAATACTGCTAGCGAAACGGAAAATTTGGATATTTCGAAAGTTAACGTGACAAAAAATGTAGAAACCCGTAATCGAACATTTTCACGAGAGGTTGTTACATTAAATTTCTGAATCGATCGATGCAGCAGAACAAGAAACTTGGCAAACGTTACGCCGGCACTCGGGAGGATACTCAGTCATGGCCCGCAATTAATTTCGTTCGAGGCTCCTGGTGGAACTGATAATCACCAAGCCGCGAGGAAATTGACGTAATTTAATAACGGTCTCACCTCTTCCCGGGAAAACCTACATTTTAATCAAGGTACGTCGAAACAACCGGCGGATCTGATTTTCCACGGGTCGCAGATGTGAAAAATTTCTACACGAAAATGAGGAAGAGATCTGCGAGCGCTTTTATTGAATCCTATCTAATTTGATACAGACCTGCACCAGCAATTACTTTACAAAATGAAACTATATCATATCTTTTCGTGCCTAACTCTTGCCGAGCACAAAGTTCAAAAGACACTGTTTTTATTCATTTTATGTTCAGATAAGGATAAAACATCTGGCAAATATTCCAAATTAACAACCTAAAGAAAGATTGTACTAAATCATTATCACAATGAATTTGTGATGTACATCTCCGGTAAAATGGAACGATGATACGATACGAGGGTATGATACAAGTGGATATGCGCCTTTAGAATCAGTGAAGATGTGTCGACAGGTCGAAAGACGAGGTTGTTTAAGTAAGGGCTCCGACTTTGATTAAGAGAATTATCCTATAGTGTAGATGCTTGCCTCGTCTACAAACTCCTCGGAAACGTTTGGGGAATACTTTCAATCACTCGTACCATCTTGTTGCCTCGTTCTTCGTCTCTCTTGTTATTTCGTCGGAAATGAAGGAACGAGATCGTTTAAAGAACGTCGTCTACCGGGGATATCGACGGGAGAACGATAGTCGCATCGGTAAAAGTTATTGACCTAAAAAACGGTCGCGTCTGGAACGAGTAAACATCGTGATTCTGGAAAAATTCTCGATTCGAAATGGAAGTGAAACAGCCTTCCAAGGAGAGAGCATGCGAAATCTTTCTGTTTTAAAATACCGGTCGCTGTTTATCTTTTCTCTTTCCCACGCTGTTCCCACCGTCCCGAGGAAAAAATCTGTAATCGTCGGTCGTTATTTATTTACACGGGAGTTCAGCGAACGCCGCCGGCGC